AAATAACTCTACTGAGTCTACTTTCTTTGCTACATAATTCATAACTTCATGTCTTAAATGTGTGTATAAAATGAAGAAAGGAAAAAAAAACATTGAGTGAGAGGAGGGTGTTTTTTTTTTTACTCCGTTTCTTTTGACTTTTAAGTAAAAGAAGAAGACGGCACCAGAAATTTCAAAGAGCATTTTTCATCCAATACTGGAAAACTTCTGTGATGAGAAATATTCGTGTATTTTAAGTACAAGAAGTAGAATTTAATAAGCTCGTGCTGGTGCTGCTGTTGTGTCTATGAGCAAGACACTTTTCATAAAAAAAATCAGATCTAAATGACAACGCTGCTCAGAACAAAACTCAATTACAATATTTCCAAAGGTTTCAGCCCTGGAAGAAGAAGTCCAAAGAGCGTCAGAGGTGGGACCAAGTCTTGCAAGTGTTTTGCAAGTCTCAAGTCTTTGACCTCAAGTCCAAGTCAAATACAGGCAAGTCCAAGTCGAGTCTTGAGTCACTGGCCCATAAGTCCAAGTCAAGTCCAAGTCGTCTGCTTTGAGCTTCAAATCATTTCAAGGCCCAAAGTATCAAATATAGCTTAGATTTTTGCAATTTATATGCATCTTAAGACCAAATGTACCTAAAAAAAAATCATAGTATATTTGTATTTGAGTATTTATAGAGTACAGTGGTCCCTTGTTTATCGCGGCGGTTACATTCTAAAAATAACCCGCGAAGTAGTCAGCTTTATATTTTACAATGATTATATCTGTTTTAAGTCTGTAAAACCCCTCACCACAAACTTATACACTTTTCTCAGACAGGACACGTACAACTCTTTTTTTACGGAAGCCGAGAGGGGTCGCAATAAATGCAAACGCCGCAACAAATACAAATGCGACAACACAACAAAAAGCCACAACACACCAAAAAAAGCCACAACGGAAATGACCGCGGGACTCCATTTTAATGCAAACGCCGCAACAAATACAAACTAAACAACACAAACGCAAATGCCGCAACACATTAAAAAGCCACAACACATGAAAAAGCCACAACACATCAAAAAGCCACAACAGAAGTCACCGCGGGACTCTATTTTCCGATGGGCCGATCAAGCAGCAAGTGAAGAAGAACTACAACGTGAAAAGTAAAGGAACGGAGAAGTTGGAAACGTAAGTAAAAGTAATTTATTGTTTTATCATTATTCGTTTCCCGCGGTCACTTCCGTTGTGGCTTTTTAATGTGTTGTGGCTTTTTGATGTGTTGTGGCATTTTAATGTGTTGCAGCATTTGTGTTGTGGCATTTGTATTTGTTGCGGTGTTTGCATTAAAATAGAGTCTCGCAGTCATTTCCGTTGTGGTTTTCTTCGGTTTGTTGTGGCTTTTTGGTGTGTTGTCGCATTTGTATTTGTTCCAGCGTTTGCGTTTGTTGTGGCTTCCGTACTTTTTGCATCCTTAAAACTTATTGCTGCTGTCGTCCTTTTGTTATTTTCCTCCTTATTTATGTAATGAACCGAAGATTAATTTATTCCATAATGGAGCCCTACAGCGCAGAGTCCTGCAAAGGTCCACTTTTGGAGACCCGCAGTATGGCTTTAAACCTTTCTTTCTTCATGGAGACCAAACCAGACCAAGTTACAGGTCAGATCTGTGGCAAGGCGACCCTGCTCACAGTCAAAATGTTAGTTTTTCTAGGTATTTTTGAGCTATAAAACCACCTGTAATTGAATAAATGCAAGATAGAGCTGTTTAATGTCAGACTGTGGACTTAAATGCGACTTATACATGATCTCCAGAGTGAACTTTAAACGCCCCAAAAGTGTCTAACATGCACCTGCAGATTTTAAAGTTGCTGTCGTACCGGAGCCAGAACATGTACAGCTAATTTGTTTTAAGGAGGAGACTGAGAAGTAGAAGGATGAAGTTTTTGTTGTTTTGTGGAGCAGTGGCAGCAATGTCCGTAGAAAGAAACGTGTGGGTGCGGAGTCGCAGCCAAAAGTGGTGGGATTGAGACGTGCTTCACTGCTTCACTGACACAGAGTTCAGACACAATTTTCGTCTGACAAGAAGAACGTTTGACTACATTTGTGAATGTCTACTTGTACCACTTTCACAGCAGGAAACACGTTCTTCTTCTTGATAACATGTAGGTTGGATGAACACGACTGAAGTCACGTGTCAAAAAATCGGATATGTATCGGTTTTAGGAGCACGTATCCAAGTGGCCTGGGTCGCATTTGAAAAAATCAGATCTGTGTCGTTCAGACTGTCGTTAAAAGCTCAGATGCAGGTCGTATAGGGGTGGAAAAATCGGATTTAGCCTTAGGTCCACTGTTTGTGTCTTCTCTCACACCTTTATGGCCAAAGACGGTAGAGCGGCTGAGCTAACTGCTACACTAATGACTTTTCAATGGATCTAATCGATACCAGACGGCCCCTAAGGAAACTGAATACTGGATTTACTGCAAAAACTAATGCTACACAAACTGGACACTCGGTAACTGGACACAAGGCCTGGGCAAGAAAGACAGAGAAATTCAATTATAAATAGGCCAATTTATATATATATATATATAATATATATATATATATATATATATATATATATATATATATATATATATATATATATATATAAAAGGGGGCCTTGTTTTTTGGGGTTTTTTTTACATTTATTTACTTAATTTTTTAAACTTACTTATTCAAACAATTATTTTTTTACTACTCGATGCATTTATTCAGCATTTCTCTCTAAAAAACAAAAAAAAAAACCCACTTTGTTATTGATAATTTACGCAAAACTTTCAAACTGAAACTAAATATAGGCTACAAATATTTACCTCAGAGCAGTTTTGCGATGTATAAAACATAAAATGAATAAAATATACTTTGAACATGAAATAAGGCATAGAAAAACATAAAAGTATCCAAAATAAACAATATATCCAGCTCTTCTACAATCTCTATATGTAAAACTCGATTATTTTGAACTGGATTATATGAGTTTGGAGATCGTTTGACACAGACAGACAAAAAATCGAAATCGCAATCAAAATTAAATTAATTGCACAGACTTAACTGGAGCAGCGTAACATTGTGCACAGTGTATTACCACTTGATGACATCACAAGGTGGAAGAGAGTGTTTTCAGTTTGAGAGAAGAACTCAGCCTAAACATGCAGGATATGTGTGTGTTAAACGCAGTGGCGGAGCGTGCATTTTACACCAAGGGCTTCAGTAGTGCTCCGTCTGAAACAATACGCTCCTCAGTATCTATTTTATGGTTATAAAAGCATCTTATTATGGGCGAGTTTCATTGTTGACAACAGTGCAGGTTGCATGCTGGGAATTATTTTGGTCGGCGGCAAGAAACACTAATTCAACATGACGGACGGAGCGAGAAAGCACGTAAAGGGTATTGATCCCGGTTATTTATCCACTCTAACGGCAGAGGACCCAAGACGATTTGACCAGAAATTGGTCATAAGCATCGATGGAGCCAAATCACTCTTTTCAACCCCGACAAAAGGTGGACCAAACCAAATTCATGGTCAGAATTGACAACTACCTGGCTAAATATTCACTTCGGCGATATCCACAATGACTTTGTGGAAACTCCTGGGCCATTCACAGCAGAAAAGATGAAAACCTCCAAGAGTCTCGATGCGTTGTTGAACTTGTTGGAGTCCACGGTTTGTTAGGATCTTCTACGTTTGCTCTGCGAATGTTTGAAAGCCGTTTAATTCACCGTTAGTGGTTCTTTTCACTGGGAATACGAAAAATACATTTTCCTTCTTCCGTGCTTCTATTTGTGCATCGATAATGCAGCAGGAATTTACCATTATCGGGGATAAATACACGAGGTTATGCACTGTGTTTGACCGCTACCGTGTTTCTTGCCTCCGACCAAAATATTTCCCAGCATGCAACGCGGGCTTTTAATAACAATGACTTCAGCTGAAACTGGCCTATAAAGAGCCGTGGAGATTCCATGCACGGAGAGGAAGTGAGGAGGGCTGCGGTGCTAAACCAGGACTAAACCAGGACTGTTTGTTGGGACTGACCCGAAGGTGCACCCGCATAGACTGTCGGGTGACCGCAGACGAAAGGACCGCGTCGGGGCCGAGGCTCCACGATGCACAGAGCTCAGCGCAGTTGTCGCCCGATCGCGCTTTGCGGACACTCTCTCTCTCAAGTCCAAGGTTAGTCCTGATTTAGATCTGGTTTAGACCTGGTTTAGTCCTGGTTCCACTACAGATGCAGTTTGCTGCTTTAGCTGGTTCGCTCTCTGACTGTCTTGGCTAAGCTCAAAATCTGATTGGTTGAAGCAACAGTTTCATGGACATTTATTTTGTGTTCGAGGGCCTGCAGGACGGATTGTGAAGGCCTCAGGCAGACTTCTTTGACTCTGACTCTGCCTAGAAATAATATGAAAATGCATGTGTGGAAGCAGAACAACCATCGGAAAAGGAAACGGACAGACCATTTGGAATTATTTAAGAATAATATAATTAACATCAGTCTGTGATTCAGAGATTTTTTTAGGCCAGCAGAGAAGGTCTTGAAGGCCCTGACGCGCCGCCACTGGTTAAACGTGTGAATGAAACAAAACACAACTCCAGGTATGTTTGCGATGAGGAACTATAATCAGAATCAGATAAAGCCTCGGCGGAAACAACAACAAAACGGCACTGAATCTTTAATAACTCCACAGACAATTCACACGGAAACTGTTGGAAGGCAAAGACAAGAAAACAAATCTGCAGATCCCATCAAAGACTTCCCTCTGACTCGGTTCCACTTAAGCAGCTCCGTCTCCGCTCTCAGACGGAGCCGAGCGACAGTGGACCGGCTGAAGTGAATTGTTTCTTTTGCCGAGAAGTGGATATGACTGTAAGTGTTATCCGAGCGCGGCAGGTCCATTTCAGCACAGAGACTTCAAAAAGGCAGCGAGTGTGTGTCTGTGTGTGTGTGTGTGTGTGTGTGTGTGTGTGTAGAAGGATGGACTTACCGCCGTCCTCGATGGAGAAGGAGAAGATGTCACTGGTGGAATTGTCTCCGTGTTTCAGGACGTAGCAGATGCTCATGTCGTCGATGTCCGCTGGGGAAAGGACAAAACAAAATTAATCAATCTGAAAGCAATTAAAATGAGATAGAGATGATTTGGTTTGAGCTCCATGAAGGGGAAAGAGGAGAAGAGGTTTAATGCAACACTGTGAAACTTTCCAGACAAACGTTCCCATCGTGAGATATAAAAAAAAATATATGAATATAAAATAGCTGCAATTTAAATGTCAAACTGGAGCTACTGGCAACGGAGAAAACAACTAAACCAAGACTGAACAAGGACTAAACCAGGACTAAGCCAGGACTAAGCCAGGACTAAACCAGGACTAAACCAGGATTGAACCAGGACTGAACCAGGACTGAACCAGGAATGAACCAGGACTAAACCAGGACTGAAGAAGGACTGAACCAGGACTAAACCAGGACTGAACCAGGACTGAACCAGGACTAAACCAGGACTGAACCAGGACTGAACCAGGACTGAACCAGGAATGAACCAGGACTAAACCAGGACTGAAGAAGGACTGAACCAGGACTAAACCAGGACTGAACCAGGACTGAACCAGGACTAAAACAGGACTAAACCAGCACTAAAACAGGACTGAACCAAGACTGAACTGGGACTGAACCGGGACTAAACCGGGACTGAACCAGGACTAAAACAGGACTAAAACAGGACTGAACCAGAATTGATACCAGGACTAAAAGAGGACTGAATCAGGACTAAACCAGGACAGTTAGTTGCCAGGGAGGAGATAACTACACTGAAAATACTCTGAAACTTTTGTCAGCTTTTGTCCAGTTGACAAATTGAATTTCTTCTTTTGCCAGGGATTTTACTTGGATGACTGAGGGATTGTACACACTGACTTTTCATGTTTCTGTTTTGAATGTCCCAAAAATTGTCAATTTGAGTTGTTTTACACATAACACGTATTATTTTTATATGAAAACATTGTAATACATGTTCTCATACATTGATATGAGTAAACCACAGAAGTTTCAAATTAATGTCTCTAAGTTTGTTTTTTTCCTATTCCTATTTTTCACCTTACTGTACAAGAATGTGCTACCAAAGTGCTTGAGTACTAGCCTGATTCATCAGCCGGTTTCACGTTGTGGAAACCATCTGACCTCACAGCATTAGGATTTGTTTGCTCGACGGTAGGCGGCTTCTTTTTTATATTTAACCAATTGCTGCTATTTGGTCATGACATGTGTAATGTGCCAAAATCCCATAGGAAGAAGGGCAATAACGTCTTTTCCCTTGATAAAATTCACCAAACATTCTCTTTGTTCCGGCTTTAAATCCTCGATCTCGGGAATCGTTGCCAACACAGAATGTCTGTCTTCGTTTACATCCATCTCGACCGCTTTGTTTACTGTTGTGCTGTTCCACAAAAGGGACCCAGACAGACGCTTAAGTTTGACGTCATGGCTTCACAGCTCTTCACTAATTGGTCTACAACTTCTGGGGTTCTTGCAAATCGTCTACTGCATTCTGATTCCTGACCTAGTCACTGGAGAGAAATGAAATTGAGCGGAGGCACTAGGTGTCACCAGTCTGGATACTTGAGTACAGTAATCTAATAAAAATACAGATGAACTTTTACCACTGTACTGCAATTTACTGCTTATTTAAAACTATAACACTAGTATAAACGATAAGTGCCTTTGTGTCACACTTGTATCACAACAATAACAGCTTGTCAGAATAATTTTATTATCCCATATTTGCTAAATACTTGTGTGATATTCTATGCCTATGAGTTAACCATTTATGTACTACAATTCTTTGATTTATAATGTACCAATCACTTGTCACTTGTTGAATAACCTCTGTGTGTTTGACAACTGTGTGCAGTGTCCTATCGCTCTAGTGAACCTCGAGATGATTCCTCACATGAAGCCAACTTCCACTGTCACACATGCAAGAGTTATGATGGTGTCTGACCTAAGGCACCTCCTGATTGTTAATCATGTTTTATGTGTTTGGACTATGCATAGCTGCACCAGTTTCTTATTATGTCTTGGCTGTTTCCCCTTCCCCTTGAGAATTATCGTTCTGTAACTAGGGCCTCCTAATGAAATAAAAAGAGGAGAACGGCCTTGAGTCATCAGAACGTGTGGAGACTGTTGGTTTTGATGCCCACTCTCTGCCCGTTCTCCTCGCGAGTAAAACTGAATTAATCTCTTGTCTTTCTTCTTGTTTTTAATGTTTAGATAAACCTAACACAGCTCCACTACACTAGAAAAGTTGCGTAGCACATCTTTAATATTGTGATTTCTTTGTTGAATTTTTGTGCTAAGTGGATGTCGGGGACAGATGCAGACCTAATCGTAACAGGGAGGTAACTAGAGATCGAAAGGTTGCCAACTTGCTGGCTTCTAATCCTCTCGTCTTAAAGCTACACTGCGTAACTTTTCTGTTGTAGGGTCTGTCATCTGAGCTTTTATTTCTTCGCCTGAAACGTTCCACAGTATCATTAAAATTGCACTGCACTGGCGCTGCATTTGAAAGGAGTATAAATGATAAACGATGACTGCCTTCGCGTCACACTTGTATAACCCACAGAGCTTATTTACAGTAAAAATAGTGCGGGGCTTACACACATGAGACCGGTGCACTCTGGCAGTCTGCGCTTCTATATTTGATGTGGAAATGCTCTTCTTCAAAGCGCTGTGCAAAAACGCATCGCCACTAGTTCTAAAGCCCCAGAGATGAGTCTTTATTTCTGTCTGTTTACTTTAGTGAGAGGGTTTAAAGACCGCGGGCCTCCAGGGGGCAGCGCTGTGTGACTGAGGAGCGGGCTACAGTACTGATGCTGCGTGACATTTAAAGACGCCAACTTGGAATATTGGTGTTTGTGCGTATTTTTATCTACGGAGCTCGGTAAACAACTATCACGGGTCAAGCTCTGATAGGGCACAGCAAGTCCTGTGTATCATTCGTTCATTCCTTTTTCAAAATAAAACCAAAAACAAGAAAACAAAAAAACAACTAGTTCCTTAATTATTTGTCTCCAAAACCAAAATGAAAAAACAGATAATGATTAGTTTTTTCAGTTTTCGATTTTGTGTTTAAATGAATAATGGAAAAAAATGGATAAAGACCGTTTCCCGTTTTCCTGTGACTTAAGTCAGATGCTTGGACTGAACCGGACTGAACCAAGACTGAGACCGAGGACTGAGACTGAGACCAGGACTGAGACCCGGACCAGTCCAGGACCAGACCGTGACTGACACCGGGATCTGGTTTGGTCCTGGTTCATTTCTGGTTTAGACCTGGTTTAGTCCTTTTTCAGTCCTGGTTTAAACTTGATTTAATCCTGCTTTAGTCCTGTTTTAGTCCTGGGCTCAGTCCTGGTTCAGTCCTGGTCCTGGTTCTGGTCTCAGTCCTGGCCTGGTCCCAGTCTGGTCCCGGTCTCAGTCCTGATCAGTCTACGCAGACATCGCAGTTTAAGTCACGTAAACAGGAAACAGTCATTATCTGTTTTTTCAATTATTCATTTAAACACAAAATCAAAAACTGAAAAAAACAATCGTTATCTGTTTTTTCATTTTGGTTTTGGAGACAAATAAAAACAAAATAGTTTTTTTGTTTTCTTATATTTGGTTTTATTTTGAAAAACGAATGAATGAATGATACACTAATTCCAACACATTTCAAACTCTGAGTGAAGAGCATGATTCACAATGTTATTATAGGTTATAATGGGATAATGGGATAATTACAGGATAGAGAGGGACAGTTGTTTCCAATTGAATCTCATTCAGCCATATCTGAAACTGGTACACATGCACACAAAATATTGACAGAAATTAGGGGTGTAACACAGTGCTTGTATTCGTGCCGAACCGTTTCGATACGGGGGCGTTCGAGTAAGTTTGCTCAATTTGTGTGTGTTTACATTCTGCCACTACATGTGCAGCTACACGGAGGCTCGACTTTTTAATATCATGAGGGAATTCGTCTGTGATTGGGGTGACAGTGTTTCCCACAGCGCTTTATAGTTAGGGTAGCCTTGACAACAATTGCCCCCCGCCTTGACTACGTCTCTCCAAACAACGTGAATCTCAGTACTGTACCAAAAATTTATCGAACCATGACCTCAAAACCAAGGTACCAAACAGTGATTTTTGTGTACCGTTACACCCCTAATAAAAATGTACAGTAATAACTTTGTACTAAATATATTTTTATAGCTAATTAGTTACAGGTTATTTAAAGGTCCCATGTTATACAAAAAAGACTTGAAGGTCCTATATTGTGCGAAATTGACTCTTGCGAGTTTTAAAACGTTATAATGTTTAGGGATGTAACGATATCCAAGTCTCATGATACGATATTGTCAAGGTATGAATCTCACAGTATGATATTTATTGCGATATCGAGAAAAAGCTCACGATATGGTGGGAAGGCTCATGATTAGGGATGTAACAAAATCCAAATCTCTCTGTACAATATCGTCACGGTATGAACCTCACGGTACGATATTTATTGCAGCATTTTGTGGAGGCTAAACAACTAAAACTGTTAATATGTGACCTTTTTCCTCTTAAAATGCCTTGACAAGACTTAATCCAAAGAACTAAGACTTAAAAGTGCTTAGAAATGTTATTTCTTCTTGTAGTCTGCACTGAAATGGAGCAAAGGATCATGGTCTGTGTAGTTCCCTCTGTATTTTTTTGAGTTATTGCTGCACCATAACTCTTAATTTAAGCAAAGACACTTGTAATTCGATATATAGTGATGGTCCAACGATATTATTGTGAGAACTTTGACGATACGATATCCCGACATTTCGGTTATTGTTACATCTCTAATAATGTTGTTACCTCCTCAAAAACAAACCTGGAGTTGTGTTTTGTTTCATTCACACATGTTTGAGAGATTTATTTGTCTGTCTACATCTCCAAAGCTCAAAATGCTCTGTTCCACCTTGTGATGTCATGAAGCGGTAGTTTTCAAGTTAACCTTTTACCTTTTGTTTAGTAGAGATTGGGGCTGAAATTACCCAGTGAAATGTTTTCTGATTGAGATAAGAAGCCTAAATACACAGGGTTTGTGTGTTAAACATGTGTGAATGAAACAAAACACAACTCCAGATCTGTTTGTGATGAGGAAACAACATAACATGGATCAAAAAATAGCGTAATGTGGGCCCTTTAAAGATTTAATTTTTTAGGTGTGGTGTTGGAATTATCCAGATCTGTGGAGCAACTCTTTTCACAGCAATAACATCCCCATGGACACTATTCACGAGAAAAGTTGAATCTTTAATATTGTGTTTTTCTTTTTTCTATTGCTGGTCGGTTGTGTTTTTGGATTTTTGTGCTGAGTGATGTCGTGGGACGATGCCGTAGGAGGCCTAATCATAATAGAGAGGTAATTGCAGATTGAAAGGTTGATAACTTGCTTTGCTAGTTTCAAATGCTCTCTTTTTAAGGTCAATTTTGGGGAAAACTCTCAAGTGTAATGTAAAAAGTCTGTGGAATGACATTGCAAGTTTGGGCAAATAGCCATAGCATCAATCCATGAGTAGCTCAGGGGCGTGAAGTTTCATCATAGTTTTCAGTAATGGCTTCCTTTTGTCTATGTTTAATATTTGTATGATAGAAAATATAAAAAAAATCTTTAGGTTAGAGTCTAGTCTGTATTGTGAGTAAAAGGGACCATATTACACTATTTTCTTAAGTTATAACCAGTGAGAAATAAAGAAGTAAAAGTACATATACATATAGGAAAAAAAAAAAAACATAAGTAAAAGTATCACATGAAAAAATCTCCTAAAGTAAAAGAATTAAACTACCTGTTTAAAATGTACTTAGAGAGTAAAAAGTAAAAGTATTTTGCACAGATTATGAGATCTTAGGGCCTGTTTACACGAGAACACTTGCAGATAAAAACAATAAAATATTTTATTGGAAGTGCCTTTCGTTTAGACCAGACATGCGAAACTCAGGCCCGGGGACCAAATTTGGCCCACAATATGACTATATTTGGCCTGCGAGATCATATCAAATATGTGTTAGAGCTGCCTGTTGGCTACAGATAGGCTATAGAGAAATTAAACTTGTTCTGGATTCAGTGTTTAAGCAAAACTATTATTAAACATGTATTTTAATAAGAAAAGGTTTAACATTGCAAATGTCAAAAGAAGAGAAAACATGCAGATGTTGTTGAAACTTTTCAATAAATATTTAGTTTGGCCCACGACTTAGTCCCAGTTTTTAATTTTGGCCTCTGTGAATTTGAGTTTGGCACCCCTGGTTTAGATGATGACGGCGTTTTTGGGGCTTAAAAACACAAAAATCTGAAACCAACCTCCAGAGTGGAAAGGTTGAATATGCTCCGCCGTCGCGTTTCCGTCAATGCTGCCCAAGATGCAAAACTCTGGTCAGATCTGCTCACGTCGTGTACACGTTTACGTCACATACATCACCACCTAGCGTCACCACCGAGCCGCCTGGCATGCATACCCAATTGAATTCCACACACTTTTGCATCAACGTATGCACGCAGATTTGCTGCTGAAAATGCCCGTCTAAACGCAGAATAAAAAGTCAAGACGCGACGCCACTTTTGCGTCTTCTGTTCAGACCATCATCATGTAAACGTAGAGATTTTGATTAAGATTTCTGCAGAATTTTGTTCAACAGAAATAATTTAATTAATATTTGTTTCCTAACTGTTTTTATTTGCATATTTAGATTATGAAGATGTTAAAAATAAACCCTCAGCCTTTTCAGCAGGTGTCAAAGAACAATAAAAAATACTTTTACTTTTCAGTCCAGTACAGAAGAAAGTAAAGATATCTGCTCTCAAATGTAGTGAAGTAAAAGTACAAGTGTCCACTGTAAAATCTACTTAAGTACAGATAGCAATTTTTTTTTTTACTTAAGTTCATTACCACTTTAATTGTAAACAACATTATGACAAAGATCAGAAAATAGCGCAATATAGGCCCTTTAAATGCACAAGTAATCAGTCAATAAGTATTTTTAATAGTTTTAAAATTGATGTGTGCCCCTTAAATTAATCTGGAATGTGCTTTGTGAATGAACAAAAGTGAGACAAATGAAACTGAAATGGTCTTTTGTCTTACCTTGCGTGAAGCTTGTAATCGTAGCGTTCCCTTTGCTTTGGTTGATCAGGTATCCGTGCAGCGGAGGGGTAGTCACTCGGAAAATCACCGCGTTCTGGAGACTGTCCCTGTCCTCGGCTTTCAGAGTCTTACTGGTGAAGACGAACCCAAAATGTCCGCTCTCCAGAATCTTAAGTGTTGTCGCGCCTTTATTCACCACGATCTGTGGAACGCCATTGTCCACGGGCAGCACTGTAATTTTCATCACTTGTGGCTTACGTGTTTCAAATACGGTATCGGGAAAAACGTAAAAGTCCACGTGAGTTCCGTCTGTAACTGTAAACGAAAAGCTATCTTCGGCGCTTTCCGTTCCGTCGTGTTTGTAGCTGATCATATTTTCGTTCAGGTCTTGTTTGGTGAAACTATTGACCGGTTTTGTGTTGTTAAAAAGTAGTTTTCCGTGAATTGGGACTTGAGTGATCGTGAACTTTAAATGTCGATCGGCGGTGTCTCTATCTTCAACCGTTAGCTCGAATGGCGTGATGAGCTTGTTCTCGCCTTCCGTTACGACCAAACCGTGAACCGTGACGACCGGCTTTTTGTTATCGACGTCGGTTATCGAAATACGAAACGTTCTGAAGATGGGATTATAGCCATCGGTCACCTCAAACTCAAAACTATCCATTTTGACTTCGTCGTCAGCCGTGTGGATGTAGAAGACTTTGTTCCCGGCGAGCTGGAGTTGCGTAAAGGACGATATCGGCATTCCCGGCGTGTCCGTGCACTCCAAGTGACCCCTCATCGGCGCTCGGGTGATCGTGAAAACCAAATGTTCATCCGGGCTATTCAAATCTGTGGTGCTGAGGAGGTCTGTCGTTAACGTAACTCTCCCGCCTTCTTTTAGCGAAACACCTTTGCTGACAACATCTGGGAATACCATGTCGATCCCGCCCACTGTTACGTAAAAGTACCTGTCGATCAAAGGGTTTAATCCATCGGTAACGTCAAATTTGATCAGATCGCGAATGCCTTCTTGCCCGTTGTGGATGTAAACGATAACTCCGAGGTCAATATCATTTTGCGTGAAGTTCATTCCGACGGTGAGGTTTTGAAAAGTTCCATACGGAGTTGATTTCTGCAAGTATCCCTGCCCGGGCCCGTACCGGATAATATAAATCAGCGTGCTATCTTCGGAATCTAGGTCAGTCGCTTTTAAAACATTGTTGGTGATCACTTTTACCTCTCCTATTTCAATTTCAAGCCCGTCGTTTATAGCCATTCTGGGCGTTTCATCATCTACGGGGATCACCATGACGATTACAGTCTTTTCGACGCTGAACTTTCCATCCGTGAGAATTATATCAAAGCTGTCCTCCGTGGTTTCGGAATCATCGTGCTCGTACACAATGCTGGAAGCCTCTCTTATCTCATCCAAGGTGAAGTTGAAGACGGGAACGGTGCCGGTGGTGAGTTGATTGAGAATAAATCCGTGCTTGGGGGGTTTGCTGATAATGAAAGTGAGCTGATCCGAGGGGAGATCCGCGTCGGCCCCATTCAGAATCGGAGTGTCTATGACTATATTCATGCCTTCCATCACTACAAACTCTCTCATGTAAATCTCCGGCTTCTCATCATTAGAAGGAATTATGGAAATCGGGAAAAAGTGTCTCTCGGAAAAATTGATACCGTCCGAGCATCTGAAAGTGAACCTGTCCTCTACGGGCTCTACACCTTTGTGAATGCTTTGGACGTAGTAAATATGACTCTTCTTGATGTCTTTGATCGTGAACGCGCTTATGGCGGTGCCTGATCGGGATTTTTCGGACCCCGGGGCGGGCGAGATGTTTTCCACGTAACCGGACGTCGGCTGGACTATGATCGTGCAAAGAAGATCGTCGCTTAGCGTGTCCACGTCGTTGGCGGTGATGTGAACGCTTTCGATTGGACTTTTCTCGCCTTCAACGACGGAAAAGCGCTCACCCACAAAGACTTCCGGAGCCTGGCTGTCCAACGGGAGAATGGTAACGTGAACTCTGACCCCTGTGATTTTATTCCCACCCACCGTCCATTCATCCGACATGTCCGTCAAAGTTAGATTAAAATAGTCCTCTTTTGTCACCATGCCGATTTCGCCGCTCGTATGCGCATAAACCACAAAGCCATTAATAATATCCGCTTGTGTGAATTTGTTAGCAGGAGCCCCCCGGACCAGAATCTGCCCGAGCAACGGCGGATCCTCAACAATAAAAGTCAACCTTAAATCATCTGTATCCTCATCGCGACCTTGGATGACGTTACTCGTAATTTCCGTCGCGCTATTTTCGAGAACTTCCATCGTTGAGCCAATAGTGCCGGGCGGGAGAGAGATAATCGGCACTTCGTCGTCTACCGGTTTCACGTTAATTTTGATCGTAATCGGGACAACGTGGACGCCATCGCTTACGTCTAAAATAACAGAATCTACGGTCGATTCGTCGCCGTTATGAGTATAAGAAATCCTTCCGGTTTCGATATCGTCGAGGTTAAAAGTGCTTCCCTTTATCATGTCGATGTACGTGTACTGAATATGCCCGTGTGTAGGAGGTTGCGTAACGGTAAATAATATTTGTTTACTATCAGTATCCGTGTCGGTCGTGTAAAGCTCGGTACTTGATATAATGTGAGTTCCGCGTTCAAGCAAATTAAACCCCGAATTTGTTATTTGAGGCGGCGTGTTATCGACAGGCTTGAGAAAAATCGTGAAAACTCCATCGACGTGATTTCCGGATATGTCCTCGACAATGTACTTAAACTGCAAGATGTGAGTGGTAATTCCAAGCTCCAAATCCGGCGGTTTGTACGCAATTTTATGATGGTTGATTTGCGCCTGGGTAAAAGTTACAACTTCGGTGTCCGGCTGTTCTGTCAGTACTAAAGTTCCTAACACAACCGGGCTATTCTCGTCGGTATCGGTCGGAGGTTGTACAATCGTATACTTAAGATCTCTATCCTCGGAATCCAAATCGCTGTAGCGTAAGAATTTTTTGCGGAAGTGAGTTAGCTGATACTCATGTACGGTCATTTGCAAAGTGGTGCCCGGGTACAGCTCCGGAGGCAAATCATCAACGGGGATAATTTTGATAATAAACGAACTTTGCTCTGATTGGTTGGGCGGATCATTATCGTCTTGAACCCTAAAAACGAACTGGTCCATAACTGTACTTGTACTATGCGGGCCTGTGTGTTTATAAAATAGTTTTCCGTCCATTATATCTTGCTGTAACCATTCCGTAACTACTTTCTCGTACATTTCATCCTCAGTATGAAACCGCCACGTTGACGGATCTTCGGGTGCTTCGGCTTGGCGCAAAAGAACCTCCCCGATTGTAGAAAACGGAGCTTCTAATACGAATTTAATCGTCGAATCTTCCGAGTCTATATCGGCCGAACTTAGCATTAACGAGGAGATGGGCATCATTTGATTTTTGAATAAAACCAATCCGGTATTAGCGTTGATGATCGGGGGCTCGTCGTCAGTCGGAACAACGGTAATCGGGAACAAAAACTCTACTTCGTTAGTGCCGTCGGTCATTCGAAAAATGATATTATCGCTGTAAGTATCGCTACCGTCGTGTTGGTAAATCACAATTCCCGCGTCGAGGTCGGCTGGAGTGAAAAATTTTCGACGAGAACCAAGAACGGTCAAAAGTCCATGCCTCAACCCGTCAATAACTGTAATTTTAACGTTTTCTAAGTTATCCTCGTCGCTAATTTCCAAATTTTGTGAACTGGAAAGAGGTCTGGACTGGCCTTCGTACAGCAACTGCCCTGTATTTCGCGTTACGACTGGAGCTAAAGTGTTCATGGGCTTCACCACGATCATAAAAGCGAAAGCATCCGAGACTGCCCCTTCTGTGTCCACCACCTCGAACTCAATCTGGAAAATCCGCTCCGCTTCCGAGTCCACCGCGGGGGGCTTGTAGGCGATTTTCAAGTCTTTCAGGTCCCCTTGGTAGAACGACGTTATTGGTAAATTCCTGTCGTCCGTGCTGACTATGTAACCCTCCTCAAAGGACAAAGGTGACGTAATGTTGAAAATTAACTCATCAGGATTAGATTCGATGTCCTCTGCAGCCAGCATATCCGTGGTAATGGCCGTCATGACAAACTGGTCCACTTCCATCATCATCATAGCCACAAAGCTGGGTTTAGGAGCTGTGTTATCCTGTCCCTCTTTAATCCGCACCAGAATTTGGAAGAACTCCTGCTTGAGCAAATTGCCTTCCTTATCGTATAACTCCAAGAGCAGAGGAATATAATCTCTATTGGGAGACTTCAAAGCGAAAGTGTGTCGATAGCGGACGTTCATGTTGAGAAAATCATCGCAGTTCACCATGCTTCCCAGGCTGTCCTCGTCCACAAGTTGGCCATACCTGGGTAGCACGCTGCCACTTGAAAGAGAGACAATTTTGCACTGCTGCGTGGCTCTGTCAAACGTAAATTCCAGTATTCTTTTGTCGATGGGGTTACTGGTGCCAAGTAGCCTCTCGACAGTCAGCGGTAGATTTTTGGCACCTCCAGCTGCGTGAAAACCACTTCAACTTCAATCATAAACGGGATTATAATCGTATCAGTTTGCGTGTCATACCTGAGTTGTAACCTGACTCTATCCCTCGGAGGACTCCTCGAGCCAAAGTGCGAATATTTGACATCGTTTGGCCCGAATTCGCACGGAAACTTTTTAGGAGACAGGTGCCCGGGTCTCTGGGACAACGGATCATTGTCCAAAACTGTAATGCTGCACCTATCCCCGGGCTGCACTTGAATCACCAGATCGTTAATGGGATCGATGAACACGGATCTCCCGAACGGCGCGCGTAAACCGTTGTTCGCCACCAGAATCGTGTCCTCTGAGAGCTCGGTGCGTAACGCGTACGATAATCCGTAGCTGTCAAACCCCTGCGCGGCTGCATCACCTGCCCACAGCAGCGTAACGAGAGCACACCACGCTGTCCAGTGCGCACCGCGTCCAGTGATCCACGCCATTTGCGCACAAAAAAAAAAAAAGCTGCTCAAAGTTTACGCGCTGTTAGAAAAGCCACGGTGCAAATCTGGATAAATTCCCGTGCCTGTGCGTACCAAGGTGCACCATTCTTCCACAGCGGCAGCCGGGCGCACACTGGACGACTCCCCCCAAACTTCTGCCGCCTGCTTCGCGCTGGAGTAAAGGATGGTGCAGGTGCACGCCCCCTTCGCTGCTCATTGGCGCGCGTTCTCGTAAGGAATGCGCCCCCCTGATTTTTAAAAGGAAGAAACCGGTGCCACTCCGAGGAGAATTAACCATGTGGAGAGGGCTGGACAATGTGGACATGTGAATGAGTGAGAGGAGAGAGAGTGGAGTGCAAAAAAAATTTACGGATGCTGTTAAAAAAAATATTCAGATAGGCTTGGTTTTGTGCGTAAAACGACCATGTGTATTATTAGACCTAAGGGTTTCAGACTGATTATGTTTTTTATTCAAATATGTGTTTTAAAATGATGAAAAAGTCAACCTGATGGTGTTAAAAATATTTATATAGGTCTCATTTTGTGCTTAATAAGACAATTTGCATGATTAGACCTATGGATTTCAGATTGTTTATGTTTTTTATTCAAATATGTCTTTCAAAATGATGAAAAATGACAACCTTTAACCATTAAAAATAATATTACATCTTTAGGAAAAACTCAAAATGTTGCCTAACGTTTCAAAATTTGACTTTTTATTCAAATATGTGTTTTTAAATGATGAAAAATTGAACCTGATGGTGTTAAAAAGATACTCAGATAGGCCTAGTTTTGTGTGTAATATGACAATTTGCATTATTAGACATTGGATTTCAGATTGTTTATGTTTTTTATTTACATATGTGTTTCAAAATGATGAAAAATTGAACCTGATGGTGTTTAAAATATTCAGATAAGCCTATTTTTGTGCATAATATGACAATTTCCATGATTAGACCTTTGGGTTTCAGATTGTTTATGTTTTTTAGTCAAATATGTGTTTCAAAATGATGAAAAATTCAACCTGATGGTGTTACAAAATATTCAGATAGGCCTAGTTTCGTGCATAATATTTGCAATAAGTTCCAATTTGCATTAGCAGGCTTATGGATTTCAGATTGTTTATGTTTTTAGTCAAATGTGTTTCAAAATTATGAAAAATTGATCCTGATGGTGTTAAAAAGATACTCAGATAGGCCTAGTTTTGTGCACAATATGACAATTTGCATTATTAGACCTAAGGGTTTCAGAAAGTTTATGTTTTTTAGTCAAATATGTGTTTCAAAATGATGAAAAATGACAACCTTTAGCGATTAAAAATGTAAAAATAATATTACGTCTTTAGGAAAAACTCAAAATGTTGCATAAAAATGTTCAAAATTTTACTTTTTATTCAAATATGTGTTTCAAAATGATGAAAAATTAAACCTGATGGTGTTAAAAAATATTCAGATAGGTATAAGTTTTGTGCATAATACAACAATTTGCATTATTAGACCTTTGGATTTCAGATTGTTTATGTTTTTTGTTCAAATATATGTTTTAAATTAATGAAAAACTGAACCTGATGATGTTAAAAATTACTCAGAGAGGCCTAGTTTTGTGCGTAATATTTGCAATAAGTTCCAATTTGCATGATTAGACCTATGGATTTCAGATTGTTTATATTTTTTAGTCAAATATTTGTTTCAAAATTATGAAAAATGGGAACCTTTAGCGATTAAAAATGTAAAATAATATTACATCTTTAGAAAATACTCAAAATGTTGCATAACACATTTCAAAATTTTACTTTTTATTCAAATGTGTGTTTCCAGAATCGTGAGAAACCAGAAGAGCTGTCATTGCAATTAATAATTAAAACAATATCACACATTTTAAAACGTGAAGAAAAGGAATGTTGCGTAACAGGAAGCTGAAACCCATGAATAAATAAGTCTAGATCTGCTTGTTAATAATAAATAATTTAGAATAATATGTTCAAATGCAAATAACAAGCACAGACTACGAAAGGCAAACATATGAGTCTGAGTGGAGAAAAGCTTTGTCGCCCTCTTGTGGTTACAAACTGCATAGGCCTAAGTCTCTGAAAGATGACATGACATTTGATCATAGTTATATTAAAGGAAATTACCAGATAAAGTAGAAAATTGGGGCAAATATTATAATATGTGTGTTTTTTAAAGGTGCATTGTGTAACTTTTCTGGTAGGGTCCATCAAAAAAATGCTTGGAGATGTTATTGCTTTGTCTGGAATGTTTCACAGTGTGGTATTAAACCTTTCTATCTCCATGGAGACCAAACCAGACCAAGTTACAGGTCAGATGTGTGGAGAATGTCTCTTTTTTTTAGGTATTTTTGATCTACAAAACCACCTGTAATTGAATAAATGTAAAGTAGAGTTGTTTAATGTCATACTGTGGAACATTCCAAAAGACTTGAGACTTGAAACTTGACTTGATAAAATGGACTAAGACTTGGGACTCGACTTGGACTTGAGGCCTGTGACTTGAGAAGCACTTTTAAATCTGAATTCTTTCTATTTTGACCATAATGATTCACACTAAGATCTTGTCAAGACTTAAAAAAAAAAATTCTACAACTCTTGATTTTTACAATGATTTTTTAAAAAGTACAATTTAGTTTAAAATTCATATAAATTACAAAAATCAAAGCTCTATTTGGCACTTTGGTTTAAAGACTTGAAATGACTTGAAGCTCAAAGCAGACGACTTGGACTTGACTTGGACTTATGGGCCAGTGACTCTAGACTCGACTTGGACTTGCCTGTTTTTGACTTGGGACTTGACTCGGACTTGAGGTCAAAGATTTGAGACTTGCAAAACAACAACTTGGTCCCACCTCTGCATTCCAGGAAGAACAATGACATCTCCATGGAAACAAGCAGGTGACAGACCTCCAACCAGAAAGTTACATAGTGCACTTTTAATTTGCAGTGGTTGTTATGTCAGACTTGAGTGTGTTTGGTGAATGTGTGACTGCAGGAAAATTACCCTTGGGGAGAATAATGTTAAATGTCAAGTTTCAGTAAGTGGAATAATTTAACATTTTTGGAGTGTCCTGAGAAAACTTCTGATCCCAAAAAAAATAAATCATTAGCAATTTTAAAGGTCCTATAAGTGCACAAAATTGACTCGTGAGATTTAAGTCATGTTATAATGTTGTTTCTTCTTCACAAACAGACCTGGAGTTGTGTTTTATTTCATTCACACATGTTTAACACACAAACTGCATATTTAGGCTGAGTTTTCTCTCAAAAATAAAACACTCTGTTCCACCTTGTGATGTCATGTTGCAATGCAGGAAGTGTTTCACTGTGTTTTTAAACTTCATATTAGAATTTCCGCTAGAGTTGGATAAGAGTTGGATAATTTCAGCGTTTCAGAGTTGCCAATCTCGACAGAACTAAAGGTAGAAGGAGCTGTTTACTGAAAAACTACCATTCGTGACATCACAAGGTGGAACAGAGCGTTTTGAGCTTTGTATATGTACACACAAATAATAAAGAATTACTCAAACGTTATGAACCAGCACATTGGGATGAGGGAAGTAAAAAAAAAATGAGATGGATAATAGAATAAATTAAATAATGTTTCATTATGAGGGATGTAACAGGTAACATTAACAAAACAGACTAAAATAGATAAAGAAAATAACCTAAACTAAGAAACAAAACAACAGGATTAACATACAAGTTTTAAAAAAAAAAACGACTCACGCAGGTTTATACAAAAACGAGTGGTTAAACTGAGAGACACACAACAAAACTAAAACACAAGTGTCTCAAAGTAAAACCACATAAACCCACAAAACAGAATCGAGGGACATTTAAAATTTAAAAAGGCACAAAACAGAACTAAACTCAACAAGTGTCTCAAAGAAAGAGACACACACGAACACAAAATGTCAGACTGGACACCGAGACCAGCGTCCCGAACAATCTCCTTAAATAGGGGGAGGAGTCGACCGGAAAAAGGTGGCTTGCCCTCTCCAGGTGGGTGGAGAGGCCCTGCCCCAAGTGGAGGAGTTCAAGTATCTCGGGGTCTTGTTCACGAGTGAGGGGAGGATGGAGCGTGAGATTGACAGGCGGATCGGTGCAGCTTCAGCAGTGATGCGGTCGCTGTATCGGACCGTTGTGGTGAAGAGGAGCTGAGCCGAAAGGCAAAACTCTTGATTTACCGGTCAGTCTTCGTTCCCACCCTCACCTATGGTCATGAGCTCTGGGTAATGACCGAAAGGACAAGATCGCGGATACAAGCGGCCGAAATGAGTTTCCTCCGCAGGGTGGCTGGGCGCTCCCTTAGAGATAGGGTGAGGAGCTCAGTCACACGGGAGGAGCTCGGAGTAGAGCCGCTGCTCCTTCACGTTGAGAGGAGCCAGTTGAGGTGGCTCGGGCATCTTTTCTGGATGCCTCCTGGACGCCTCCCTCGGGAGGTGTTCCTGGGCATGTCCCACCGGGAGGAGGCCCCGGGGAAGACCAGGACACGCTGGAGGGACTATGTTTCTCGGCTGGCCTGGGAACGCCTTGGGGTCCCCCTGGAGGAGCTGGAGGAAGTGTGTGTGGAAAGGGAGGTCTGGGAGTCCCTGCTTAGACTGCTGCCTCCGCGACCCGGCTCCGGATAAGCGGAAGAAAATGGAATGGAATGGAAAGGGGGGAGGAGTCTGGAGGTGAGGCAGGATTGGTCAGGTGTAGAAGAACTCCACCAATCACGGACCAGGCCTCCCACAGCAGAAATAACAGCTAAATTATTTAAGCACCCAAAACAAATCAGAACTGAAGGCCTGGGGCTGTGACACTAAACACAACTCCAGGTCTGATTTTAATGACATAACTGCATTATAACACGGTTTAAAGGTGCACTGTGTAATTTTTCAGTAGTCTGTCACCTGCTTGTTTCTATGATGTCATTGCTTTGCCTGAAATGTTCCACAGTGTGACATTAAACAGCTCTACTTTACATTTATTCAATTGCAGGTGG